TTTATTATATTATTAGTAATTATAACACTAATAATAGTGCATTATAGTGGCATAGTACAATATAGTAATATATAATACCAATACTGTGGTATGCTAATAATATAATATATTGTATGTACATACAATATTGATTGTAGCATTACAATATAAAACTAATACAATATTTATATATTATTCATTGTAATATTACAATAGTTTAATTAATCATTAAATTAACAATGTAATACAATACTAAAACAATATAATTATATATATTATATTATATGTAATATTACTAATAATATTGCATTGTAGCGGAATAGTACAATAATAGTAATATATAATACTAATCCTCTTGATTCTTATAATCTTGGATCTTGATTCTACCTACGAGATGCTAATGAGATGTTATAGTTATGTTTATTATATCATAACTTTATTATATCATTGTTTTTAACTGTTTTTTAACTGTTTTTATGATGTTGAGCATTGAATTTTGCTATTGTTAACCGCTTTGCGTGGCCCAAGGCCTGAGAAAAGCGATATATAAATGAAGGACATAAATAAATAATAAATAAATACTCTGCTATGCAAATAATATAATATATTGTATGTACATATAATAGCGATCATAACATTACAATATAATACTAATAGAATATTATAATTGTATATATTATATTACATGTAATATTACTAATAATATTGCATTATCGTGGTATTTATTTATTTATTTATTTATCGTGTCAAGAGCGAACCAAAACAGTTGTATTGCATTAAAAACAAACAAACAAACAAAACACAAAGTTTGCAAACTTGGTATTCTAGGAAATGTCCTTTGACCAGTAGCTGGCCTCTGGTGTCGCTTTGAGAAGGTCCTCCCTTGTGCATCATGTGGCATCATGTTGCATTGCAGCAGGTGGTCAGTGGTTTGCTCTTCTCCCCACTCGCATGTCATGGACTCCGCTTTGTGGCCCCATTTCCTAAGGTTGGCTCTGCACCTCGTGGTGCCCGAGCGCAGTCTGTTCAGCGCCTTCCAAATCGCCCCGTCTTCTGTGTGCCCAGGGGGGAGTCTCTCATTTGGTATCAGCCATTGATTGAGGCTCTGGGTTTGGGCCTGCCACTTTTGGACTCTTGCTTGCTGAGGTGTTCCAGCGAGTGACTCTGTTGATCTTAGAAAACTATTTCTAGATTTAAGTCATTGACGTGCTGGCTGATACCCAAACAAGGGATGAGCTGGAGATGTCTCTGCCTTGGTCCTTTCACTATTGGCTGCCACTTCCCGGCGGATGTCAGGTGGTGCAATACCGGCTAAGCAGTGTAATTTCTCCAGTGGTGTAGGGCGCAGACACCCTGTGATAACGCGGCATGTCTCATTAAGAGCCACACCCACTGTTTTAGTGTGGTGAGATGTGTTCCACACTGGGCATGCATACTCAGCAGCAGAGTAGCATAGCGCAAGGGCAGATGTCTTCACTGTGTCTGGTTGTGATCCCCAGGTTATGCCAGTCAGCTTTCGTATGATATTGTTTCTAGCGCCCATGTTTTGCTTGATATTCAGGCAGTGCTTCTTGTAGGTAAGGGCACGGTCCAGAGTGACTCCCAGGCTCTTCTCCACACTCACATGTCGTGGACTCCACATTGTGGCCCCATTTCTGAAGGTTGGCCCTGCACCTCGTGGTGCCCGAGCGCAGCCTGTTCAGCGCCTTCCAAATCGCCCAGGACTGACATATCCCTCCTCCCCACTTTATAAACACTGGGTCACATCCCTAATCGGTTCGGTCATGTTCACGCTTTGAACGCCCAAAGCGTCCGCCAGCTTCCACAACGTGATTCTGATGTTTGAAGTTACAGAGTCGAGGTTTGACCGGGATTCTGCTGGGAGCGAAGGCGAGGAGGAGGACCCCGGGGACGCGACCCCGCAGTCAAACGCGATGACGGAAGGGGAATACCTCCCCGAATCGCCAATGTCGTCGCCGGTCGAGCTCAAGCAAGAGCTGCCCAAATACCTCCCGGCCCTTCAGGTGAGGAGAAGCATCCATTTCAAAGCCCCATTTCAAAACTTACCATCTTGTCTCCCGCACTGTGAATATCTATATATATAAATTTGTTAGGGGCATCCAACAAGGAAACAAAACTCAAAAACCCCCCAACGAAACTTAACCAAAATTCCCATGCCCATAACACAACCCACAAGGTACAAACATATCTACTCAAAATGAAAAACAACACAACAACACACGCACAAAACGGCAAAACAACAAAACTCAAAAATCCCCCAACGAAACTTAACCAAAATTCCCATGCCCATAACACAACCCACAAGGTACAAACATATCTACTCAAAATGAAAAACAACACAACAACACACTCACAAAACGGCAAAACAACAAACACAAAACCCCCAACGAAACTTAACCAAAATTCCCATGCCCATAACACAACCCACAAGGTACAAACATATCTACTCAAAATGAAAAACAACACAACAACACACTCACAAAACGGCAAAACAACAAAACTCAAAACCCCCAATGAAACTTAACCAAAATTCCCATGCCCATAACACAACCCACAAGGTACAAACATATCTACTCAAAATGAAAAACAACACAACAACACACTCACAAAACGGCAAAAGGATAAAACTCTAAAAAAAACCAACGAAACTTAACCAAAATTCCCATGCTCATAACACAACCCACAAGGTACAAACATATTACTCAAAATGAAAAACAACACAACAACACACTCAAAACGGCAAAAAAACAAAACTCAAAAAAACCCCAACGAAACTTAACCAAAATTCCCATGCCCATAACACAACCCACAAGGTACAAACGTATCTACTCAAAATGAAAAACAACACAACAACACACTCACAAAATGGCAAAACAACTGAGCATGCGCATTGGCGCCCAGCCGCAAGTTCCCTGGCGCGCGCACATGCCCTTCCGGCCAACGTTCCCTCTGCGGAAACCATGCCCACTCCAAGCCCCGCCGCGCCGCTTCCCGCACACACACACACCCCTGCCGCACATACACACACAACCCCACACTCCATCACTCCCCCCGCCGCCGCACACACACACGCAACCCCACTCCCCCGCCGCCACACACACACACGCAACCCCACACTCCATCACTTCCCCCCCCGCCGCACGCACACACGCAACCCCACTCCCCCTGCCGCCGCGCACACACACGCAACCCCACGCTCCATCCCCCCCGCCGCCGCACGCACACACCAACCCCACTCCCCCCGCCGCCGCACACACACACACACCCCCACGCTCCATCACTCCCCCCGCCGCCGCACACACACACGCAACCCCACGCTCCATCACTCCCCCACCCCAATCTTACCTCCTTTTACTTCACGCCACCTCCAAACCCCACCCCGCCCCTTCCCGCCCTGTCAAAATCTAGGAAAGACAGGAAGGAAGGAAAGAAGGAAGAAAGAGAAAGGGAGGTAAAGAAAAAGGGGGAAGGAAGGAAAGTTATAGGAAGAAGAAAAGGAAAGATGGAAGGAAAGAAAAGAAGAAAAGAGAGACAGCAGAAAAGAAAGAAAAAGGGGGAAGGAAGGAAAGAGATAGAGAAAGAAGAGGAGAAGGAAAGATGGGAGGGAAGGAAGGAAGGAAGGAGGGAAAGGAGAAAGAGGGAAGATTGGCCACAGCAACACGTGGCGGGTAAAGGTTGTTATTTCTATTATTATTATTATTATGCTATTGTTCCTATGAGACCCTTTTTAGGGGGAATGGGAGAGGTGTCAGGTCCCAGAGGCAATGCATTGCATTATTGTTATTGTTATGATGGGGGTGAAATAAAAGGAAATAAAAAGTGAAAGAAGGAAGCAAACAGGGAGGGAAGAAAGGCAAAGGAAGAAAGGGGGAGGGAATGAAGGAAAGAGAGAAGGATGAAACCAAGTAGTGAAAGAAGGAAAGAAAGAAAGAGGTAGAGAAGGAAGAAAGGAGAGAAAGGGGGAGGAAAAGGGGGAAGGAATAGGTAGGGACCTCTCTTTCGTAATAGTCCAGATATCTACCTCAACTTTGATAAGTTTTACTATAGGCCACAGCAACGCGTGGCAGGGCACAGCTAGTATATATTAATATAATATATTGTATATACATATATTATTGATAATATAATGTAGTATAGAATCCTAGAATCAAAGAGTTGGAAGAGACCTCCTGGGCCATCATCCAGTCCAACCCCATTCTGCCAAGAAGCAGGAATATTGCATTCAAATCACCCCTGACAGATGGCCACCCAGCCTCTGCTTAATAATAGTAATAATAATAATAATAATAATAATAATAATAATAATAATAGAATCCTAGAGTTGGAAGAGACCTCCTGGGCCATCCAGTCCAACCCCATTCTGCCAAAAAGTGAATTGCACATATATGGTAGTTTCGGAATCTGATTAATAGTAATAATAATAATAATAATAATAATAATAATAATAATAGAATCCTAGAGTTGGAAGAGACCTCCTGGGCCATCCAGTCCAACCCCATTCTGCCAAGAAGTAGGAATATTGCATTCAAATCACCCCCGAGAGATGGCCATCCAGCCAGCCTCTGCTTAATAGTAATAATAATAATAATAATACCAAATAATAATAATAATAGAATCCTAGAGTGGGAAGAGACCTCCTGGGCCATCATCCAGTCCAACCCCATTCTGCCAAGAAGCAGGAATATTGCATTCAAAGCACCCCCAGCAGATGGCCATTAATAATAATAATAATAATAATAATAATAATAGAATCCTAGAGTTGGAAGAGACCTCATGGGCCATCCAGTCCAACCCCATTCTGCCAAGAAGTAGGAATATTGCATTCAAATCACCCCCGAGAGATGGCCATCCAGCCAGCCTCTGCTTAATAGTAATAATAATAATAATAATAATAATAATAATAATAATAATAATAATAGAATCCTAGAGTTGGAAGAGACCTCCTGGGCCATCCAGTCCAACCCCATTCTGCCAAGAAGTAGGAATATTGCATTCAAATCACCCCCGAGAGATGGCCATCCAGCCAGCCTCTGCTTAATAGTAATAATAATAATAATAATAATAGAATCCTAGAGTTGGAAGAGACCTCATGGGCCATCATCCAGTCCAACCCCATTCTGCCAAAAAGTGAATTGCACATATATGGTAGTTTCGGAATCTGATTAATAATAATAATAATAATAATAATAATAATAATAATAGAATCCTAGAGTTGGAAGAGACCTCCTGGGCCATCCAGTCCAACCCCATTCTGCCAAGAAGCAGGAATATTGCATTCAAATCACCCCTGACAGATGGCCATCCAGCATCCAAAGAAGGAGCCTCCACCACACTCCGGGGCAGAGAGTTCCACTGCTGAACGGCTCTCACAGTCAGGAAGTTCTTCCTCATGTTCAGATGGAATCTCCTCTCTTGTAGTTTGAAGCCATTGTTCCATTGTGTCCTAGTCTCCAAGGAAGCAGAAAACAAGCTTGCTCCCTCCTCCTCCCTGTGGCTTCCTCTCACATATTTATACATGGCTATGATGTCTTCCCGCTCCGGCGGGAAGGTAACGGCGCTCCATGCAGTCATGCCGGCCACATGACCTTGGAGGTGTCTACGGACAACGCCGGCTCTTCGGCTTAGAAATGGAGATGAGCACCACACCCCAGAGTCAGACATGACTGGACTTAATGTCAGGGGACTACCTTTACCTTACTATGATATCTCCTCTCAGCCTTCTCTTCTTCAGGCTAAACATGCCAGCTCCTTAAGCCGCTCCTCATAGGGCTTGTTCTCCAGACCCTTGATCTTTTGAGTTGCCCTCCTCTGGACACATTCCAGATTAGAGTCAATATCTCTCTTGAATTGTGGTGCCCAGAATTGGACACAATATTCCAGGTGTGGTCTAACCAAGGCAGAATAGAGCATGGGGAGCATGACTTCCCTAGTACAATATAATACTACTGCTACTACTACTACTACTACTAGTAATAATAATAATAATAATAATAATAATATGGTTTTATAATTATATATTTTATATTAATTGTAATATTACTAATCATATTATAGTATAATTATATTATAATTATATAATAGTATAATGTTATAGTATTAGTATTAATAGTATTAATATTGTGTTATGATAATTATTATAATAATAATATAAATAAAATAAATAATATCATAGTACAATATAGTAATATATAATATTATTATTGTGCTATGATAATAATATGATATATTGTATTTACTTGTACGCTGCTCTGAGTCCCCTTTGGGGTGAGAAGGGTGGCATATAAATGTCATAAATAATAATACAAAATAATATTATAGTACAATATAGTTACATATAATATTAATATTGTGCTATAGTAATAATATAATATATTGTATTTACATTTTATTTGTAAGCCGCTCTGAGTCCCCTTTGGGGTGAGAAGTGCGGCATAGAAATGCCGTAAATAAATAAATAAATAAATAAAAATAATATTATAGTACAATATAGTAATATATAATATTAATATTGTGCTATGACAATAATATGATATATTTGATTTATTGTGCTATGATAATAATATGATTTACTTTTCACTTGTAAGCCGCTCTGGGTCCCCTTTGGGGTCAGAAGGGCGCCATATAAATGTTGTAAATAAATAAAAATTAAAATAAATAAATAATATTATAGTACAATATAGTAATATATAATATGAATATTGTGCTATGGTAATAATATAATATATTGCATTTACTTTTTACTTGTAAGCCGCTCTGAGTCCCCTTTGGGGTGAGAAGGGCGGCATATAAATGCTGTAAATAAATTAAAAATAATATTATAGTACAATATAGTAATATATAATATGAATATTGTGCTATGATAATAATATAATATAATTGTATTTATTTTTTACTTGTAAGCCGCTCTGAGTCCCTTTCGGGGTCAGAAGGGCGCCATATAAATGTCGTAAATAAATAAAAATTAAAATAAATAAATAATATTATAGTACAATATAGTAATATATAATATGAATATTGTGCTATGGCAATAATATAATATATTGCATTTACTTTTTACTTGTAAGCTGCTCTGAGTCCCCTTTGGGGTCAGAAGGGCAGCATATAAATGCTGTAAATAAATTAAAAATAATATTATAGTACAATATAGTAATATATAATATAATATTGTGCTATGATAATAATATAATATAATTGTATTTATTTTTTACTTGTAAGCCGCTCTGAGTCCCTTTCGGGGTCAGAAGGGCGCCATATAAATGTCGTAAATAAATAAAAATTAAAATAAATAAATAATATTATAGTACAATATAGTAATATATAATATGAATATTGTGCTATGGCAATAATATAATATATTGCATTTACTTTTTACTTGTAAGCTGCTCTGAGTCCCCTTTGGGGTGAGAAGGGCAGCATATAAATGCTGTAAATAAATTAAAAATAATATTATAGTACAATATAGTAATATATAATATTAATATTGTGTTATAGTAATAATATAATATATTGTATTTACATTTTACTTGTAAACCGCTCTGAGTCCCCTTTGGGGTGAGAAGGGCGGCATAGAAATGTAAATAAATAAAAATAATAAATAAATAATATTATAGTACAATAGAGTAATATATAATATTAATATTGTGCTATGGTAATAATATAATATATTGTATTTACTTTTTACTTGTAAGCCGCTCTGAGTCCTTTTCGGGGTGAGAAGGGCGGCATAGAAATGTCGTAAATAAATAAAAATAATAAGTAAATCAATAAATTGACCGTGCTGTGCCAGTCGTGTCCTCGTCTGTTTATCATTGGGGCGGGTTTAAATGCCCCAGTGATCCGTGTGTATATGTCTCATCTTTCATTCCCTCTTCTTCTCTTTTCTAGGGATGTCGCAGTGTGGAAGAGTTTCAGTGCCTGAACCGGATTGAGGAAGGAACGTACGGAGTTGTTTACAGAGCCAAAGACAAGAAAACAGGTGGGTCTATTTCTTTCCTTCGCTTTTGAGACCTGGTGTCGCTTTGCAGCATTCAGAGAAATCCTTTTGTCCTAGGCCAAATCCAGACTATTTTATATATATACTAGCTGTACCTGCCACGTGTTGCTGTGGCCAACCTTCCCTCTTTCTTTCTTTCTTTCTTTCTTTCTTTCTTTCTTTCTTTCTTTCTTTCTTTCTTTCTTTCTTTTCCTTCTTTCTTCCTCCTTCCTCCCTCTTTCCTTCCTTCCTTCCCCTTTTTTTCTTCCTTCTCCTTCCTTCCTTCCTTTCTTTCTCCCTTTTCTTTCTTTCTTTTCTTCCTTCCTTCCCTCTTTCTTTCCTTCCCTTCTTCCTCTTTCTTTCCTCCTTCCCTTCTTTCTTTCCTTTGTTCCCCTTTTCTTTTCTTCCTTTCCCTTCCCTCCTTCCCTCTTTTTTCCCCTTCCTCTTTTTCTTTTCCTTTCCTCTTTCTCTCTTCTTCCTCTCTACCTCTCCTTCCTTCTTTTGCTCTTTGCTTCCATCCTTCCTTCTCTCTTTCCTCCTTTTCTCTTCCTCTTTTTTCTCCTTCTTTCCTTCTCTCCTTCCTTCCTTCCTTCCCCTTCCTTCTTCCTTCCTCTTCCTTCCTTCTCTCCTCTCTTTCTTTCCTTCTTTCTCTCCTTTCCTCCTTCTTTCCATCCTTCTTTCTTTCCTTCCTTCGCTCTTTCTTTCTTACCTTCTCACCTTCCTTCTTCTTTTCCTATTTCTCCTTTCCTTCCCACCTTCTCTTCGTTTCCCCTTCCCCTCTTTTTCTTTTCCTTTCCCTTTCTCTCATTTCTTCCTTCTCTACCTCTTTCTTTCCTTCCTTCATTTGCTCTTTGCTTCCATCCTTCCTTCTCTCTTTCCTCCTTTGCTTCTCTCCCTTTTTATTTCCTTCTCTCCTTCCTTCCTTCTCCTCCCTTTTTCTTTCCCTTTTCTTTCTCTCCTTCCTTCCTTCTCTACCTCTTTCTTTCCTTCCTTCATTTGCTCTTTTTTTATTTTCTTTCCTTCTCTCTTTTTCCCTTCCTCCCCCCTTTTTCTTCTTCCTTCCTTCTTCTCCTTTCTTCCTTTCTCTGCCTCTTTCCTTCTTCCTTCCTTCCTTCCTTACCTCATTCTTTCTCCCTCCCTCCCTCCTTCCTTTCCTTTCACCCTTTTGTCCCTCCCTCCCTCCCTTCCTTCCTTCCCTCCCTCTTTTGTCCTTCTCCCTCTTTCTCCTTCCTTCCTTCCTTCCTTCCTTCCTTCCTTCCTTCATTCATTCATTCATTCATTCTCTTTCTTCTTCTCCCTCCTTTTTCTCTTTCCTTCTACTTCTTCTTTTTCCTTCTCCTTTTTCTTTTCCTTCCTCTTTTCTTTCTTTCTCTACTTCTTTCTTCTTTCCTTCGCTCTTTGCTTCCATTCTTCCTTCTCTCCTTCCTCCTTTTCTTCTCTCCCTTTTTTCCTTCTTTCCTTCTCTCCTTTCCTTCCTTCCCCTCCTTCCTTCCTTCTCTTTTTCCCTTCCTTCCCCTCCTTTTCTTTCCCTTTCCTTTCTCTCCTTTCTTCCCTCTCTACCTCTCCTTCCTTCCTTCCTTCCTTCATTCATTCATTCATTCATTCATTCATTCATTCTCTCTTTCCTTCTTCTCTCTCTATTTCTCTCTTTCCTTCCTATCTTCGTTTTCCCTTCTCCGTTTTTCTTTTCCTTCCTCTTTTCTTTCTTTCTCTACTTCTTTCTTCTTTCCTTCGCTCTTTGCTTCCATCCTTCCTTCTCTCCTTCCTCCTTTGCTTCTCTCCCTTTTTATCCCCTTCTTTCCTTCTCTCCTTCCTTCCTTCCCTCCCTCTTTCCTTCCTTCTCTTCGTTTGGGTACGTGTGCATAAGAGTTGTGCGATTGGCCCTATCTCTTATTCTTCAAAAAAAGAAAATTAATGGGGGGGCTTCTTTCCAGATGAGATTGTGGCCCTGAAGCGGCTGAAGATGGAGAAGGAGAAAGAAGGCTTCCCCATTACCTCCTTGAGGGAAATCAACACCATCTTGAAAGCTCAGCACCCAAACATCGTCACCGTCAGGGTAAGGAAGGTCACCACCGCCCGCTCTCTCCGTCTTTCCTTTTATTTGAATTTGGATGGTGTGATTTTAAGAACTATTTTTAAATTGTGTAGTTTGCAGGTGGGTTTTAATATATTTTTTCTTGTATTATCCATGTTTAAATGGTTATATTTTATGCTCAAATATTATTTTATGTTTTAACATGGTTAGGTTTTTTAATTTATAGTTATATGCTATTGTCTAGCTATTATGTTTTGGTTTTCTCATGTATGTACAGCATTGAATTTTGCCTTTATATAGAATGTCATGAATTATGCCAGTGGATCTCAGATTTCAGTAGTCTGACTCTTATCATTCATTTATTTACTACATTTGTATACTGCTTTTCCCCCTCAGGTACTCAATTTCTCTACTTACAGCTCTAAGCTGTTTTCGAACTGCTTAGGTAAACAATGAGCTGGGCTGACAGTCAGGTGCTCATGCCGACCTGGGGCTTCAAACTGGCAACCTTTCAGTTGGTAGATCTTATAATTGCTGGTGATTTACCGGCTGTGCTAAAGCCCGGCCCTTGATTGTAAACTTCCTCCTTGATCGAATTGCCAACATATTTCTGGCATTTCCTTATGGGTGTCTTAATTACCTCCCTGCTTTAAAGAGGTAATAATATAACAATAAATAAAACTTTATTTGCATACTGCTCTATCTCCCCGAGGGGGACTCTGGGCGGTTTCCAAGTAACATCACCAAAACATACAGAGTAAACAGCATGACATAAAATTAACAAAACAACATAAGCATATAATTATCACAATAACATATATATATGTTCAGAGCTCTGCCTGTTCAGAGCAGTTATCAGTACCTATTTATTCACATTTTGCTTTCAAACTGCTAGGTAGGCAGAAGCCGGGCTGAAGCCAGGAGATCAACCCGATCTGAGCTTCGAACTGTCAACTTTTCGGTTGGCAAGATTTATTGCAGCTGGTGGTTAACCTGCTGTGCTAAAGCCCGTCCCTATTATTATTATTATTATTATTATTATTATTATCATGATTGATCCTTATTATTATTATTATTATTATTATTACTACTACTACTATCATTATCCTCATTTTTACTGCAGCTGGTGGTTAACCTGCTGTGCTAAAGCCCATCCCTATTATTATCATCATATTATTATTATCATAATCGATCTTTATTATTATTATTAATATTATTAATATTATTACTACTCCTATCATTATCCTCATTTTTACTGCAGCTGGTGGTTAACCTGCTGTGCTAAAGCCCGTCCCTATTATTATTATTATTATTATTATTATTATTATTATTATCATGATCGATCCTTATTATTATTATTATTATTATTATTACTACTCCTATCATTATCCTCATTTTTACTGCAGCTGGCGGTTAACCTGCTGTGCTAAAGCCCGTCCCTATTATTATTATTATTGTTATTATTATTGTTATCATGATCGATCCTTATTATTATTATTATTATTATTATTATTATTATTACTACTCCTATCATTATCCTCATTTTTACTGCAGCTGGTGGTTAACCTGCTGTGCTAAAGCCCGTCCCTATTATTATTATTATTGTTATTATTATTGTTATCATGATCAATCCTTATTATTATTATTATTATTATTATTATTACTACTACTATCATTATCCTCATTTTTACTGCAGCTGGTGGTTAACCTGCTGTGCTAAAGCCCGTCCCTATTATTATTATCATTATCATAATCGATCTTTATTATTATTATTATTATTATTATTATTATTACTACTCCTATCATTATCCTCATTTTTACTGCAGCTGGCGGTTAACCTGCTGTGCTAAAGCCCGTCCCTATTATTATTATTATTGATCCTTATTATTATTATTATTATTATTATTATTATTATTACTACTCCTATCATTATCCTCATTTTTACTGCAGCTGGCGGTTAACCTGCTGTGCTAAAGCCCTTCCCTATTATTATTATCATTATTATTACTATCATAATCGATCCTTATTATTAATATTATCATCATAATCAATCCTTATTATTATTACTACTACTACTATTATCCTCATTTTTACTGCAGCTGGTGGTTAACCTGCTGTGCTAAAGCCCATCCCTATTATTATTATTATTATTATTACTACCATAATCGATCCTTATTATTATTATTATTATTATTATTACTACTACTACTATCATTATCCTCATTTTTACTGCAGCTGGTGGTTAACCTGCTGTGCTAAAGCCCATCCCTATTATTATTATTATTATTATTACTACCATAATCGATCCTTATTATTATTATTATTATTATTATTACTACTACTACTACTACTACTATTATCCTCATTTTTACTGCAGCTGGTGGTTAACCTGCTGTGCTAAAGCCCATCCCTATTATTATTATTGTTATCATCATAATCATAGATCCTTATTATTATTATTATTATTATTATTATTATTACTACTACTACTACTATCATTATCCTCCTTTTTACTGCAGCTGGTAGTTTGCCTGCTGTGCTAAAGCCTGTCCCTATTATTATTATTGTTATTATTGTTATTATCATAATCAGTCATTATTACTACTACTACTACCACTATCATCCTCGTTGTTGTTGTCATTGATCCTTACCCGGCCCCTTCTTCATTTCCAGGAGATTGTGGTTGGGAGCAACATGGACAAGATCTACATTGTGATGAATTACGTGGAACATGATCTCAAGAGCCTCATGGAGACCATGAAGCAGCCGTTCCTACCAGGTAGGAGAGGCTTCGCGCGTTCCTAAAGCCTTTTATGAACAGGAAGGCGCAAGCAAGCGGGCCTTGACTTTCCCGCTCTGTTTCCGTGTTGCAGGTGAAGTGAAAACCCTGATGATCCAGCTCTTGCGGGGCGTCAAACACCTTCACGACAACTGGATCCTTCACCGGGATTTGAAAACCTCCAACTTGCTGTTGAGCCACGCCGGCATTTTGAAAGTGAGGCTTTGTTTCTATTTTTCTAGAAACTAATCTCACACTATTCTACGTGGTCGGCTTTGATCACTCCAAATGTCCTTCCCATTTTTATTTATTTACCTAGCTTGGAGAGGCAGGTGACAAATAATAATAATAATAATAATAATAATAATAATAATATAATTTAATAATAATAGTTTTACTTTTACTATCCTGCATTGCGCAGGTTATTTTCAAAAGTCAATGTTTAAATTGTACACAATGCATAAGGTTGTGGGAGAACTACAACTCCCATCATGCCAGGTTAACCCCGAAAAATTCCATCAAAAAGTTTATTATTTTGGGCAAATTTGCTCTAGATCAGTGGTTCTCAACCTGTGGGTCCCCAGATGTTTTGGCCTTCAACTCCCAGAAATCCTAACAGCTGGTAAACTGGCTGGGATTTCTGGGAGTTGTAGGCCAAAACACCTGGGAACCCACAGGTTGAGAACCACTGCTCTAGATGCCTCATTTGTGGGGTTGAGTGTGCTCTCTGGCTGTAGGGTAAACTACAACTCCCACTATGGTGAGTCAGTCCCCTCAAACCCCTCCAGTAGGGTGAGTTAGTCATGGGGGTTTAGTGTGCCAAGTTTGATCCAGGTCCATCATTGGTGAAGCTCAAAGTTTTCCTAGTTTTGAGTGAACTACAACTCCCAGAAGGAAGTTCAGTGCCCCCCCCCCACCCGCAAAAAAAACCCCCTCCTCCAGTAGATTGAGTCACTCATTGGAGGTTCTGTGTGCCAAGTTTGATCCAGGTACATCATT